TTACTATTACTTGTAAATTTTAAATCAACTTCTTAATTAAAACATTTTTGCAAAGTGTGTAATCTTCTGGAAAGAAAATGTAAAATTTCTTAAAACGCTTTACAACTGTAATATAATGTTCACCTTTTATTGTGTGGTATAGTCTGAAATAATAATATGGTACCTCTTTAAAACGAATTATAGTGCTAGAAGTCTTCACGTTAGAACTATAAAAATGTTAACAGTTCTTACAAAAACTACTTACTATAAGAGAGAATGTAATAACACCTCCTGATAATATACACAATGAACATTTAACTGTTGCACAAAAACTTACAAGGGCAATTAACATAACATTATACAATTTATTGTATACTTAGAAAATGTAGAAAGTATTCAATAACATATTTTTTTCCAGTTTTATATTACCTGCTAATCTACATGTCCTGTCTAATTAGCATGTTAATCTATATATCCTGTCTAACTAGCATGTTAATCTATATATCCTGTATAACTAGCATGTTAATCTGTATATCCTGTCTAACTAGCATGTTAATCTGTATATCCTGTCTAACTAGCATGTTAATCTATATATCCTGTCTAACTAGCATGTTAATCTATATATCCTGTCTAACTAGCATGTTAATCTATATATCCTGTCTAGCTAGCATGTTAATCTATACATCCTGACTAACTGGTATGATTATCTATATATCCTGTCTAGCTAGCATAGTAATCTATATATATGCTTTCTAACTAGCATGGTAATCTATATATCCTGTCTAACTAGGTATGGTAATCTATATATCCTGTCTAACTAGCATGGTAATCGATATATCCTGTCTAGCTAGCATGGTAATCGATATATCCTGTCTAGCTAGCATGGTAATCTATATATCCTGTCTAACTAGCAAGGTAATCTATATATCCTGACTAACTAGCAAGGTAATCTATATATCCTGACTAACTAACATGTTAATCTATATATTTTCTCTAACTAACATTGTAATCTATATTTTCTGTCTGACTAGTATGGTGCCATAGCTTTTTTTTCTAATTATTGAATTAATTAGTTTAATAATGGGAAATGCGTTCCTTTTCACCAACCAATTTTTAAGTTTTGCTGTGCTTGCTTTATTTTACCAAGAGGCATTGAAAGCATCATTTAGAATTTTAAAAAAATCAAGAATCACCCTTAATTAAAAATTATTTAAAAAAAGTAAAGTAGAAATCCAAAAATTGATAAGCAGAGTCATTAAATTACTTAAGTGATCATAAATGACATTTTTAATCATAACATTAAAACTTTTACTCGAAACTTAAAATTACTTACGTAACAGTGATATTCATATGTTTAACTATTGTATCTTAAATGTTGTATTCTGTTTTACGTATACCTTTTCTGCATAACATTTACATTATATGTGAATCATTTTATTCCTTACAATAACAATGATCTGAGAATATCGTAAAACTATCGTTAAATTATAAATAGTACAGAAAACTCAAAAACCAAATTGAACAATAGTCAGTTAGATAAAATGTCTGTTTGGATTGTAGATGTATTGTAAAGTAATTATGTCTCAGAAACAACAATGGTTGCAAACAATATGTAGTCATAACTATGTGTAATAAGAGCATTACATTTTGTAATATTTAGGAATCCTCTCTAACGCAACAAAGAAATTGAAGTCACGTCAAGGGGAAAACCTGATGAAAGTGTTTAAATAATTATTTCTTGCTTTAATATTGCTTTATTATTGTGCGAATAAAAAATACGTATATGAAGAATAATGTCTGTTTTTTTCTTTAACAGTAATACTTTACATGTTCAATAAAAATGTCAGAGGAGAAATATAATAAATTTCCCACTGTACTTGTAACTCTGTGAAATGTCACTCCTTTAAATAGACAAAACTAACATTTTATCTCACTTGATCGACACAATAAGACAGAGAATGATAACTAATGCTTAGTCTGTAAATAAACATCACAGTAGATAGGTAACAAATTCAAAATCCTATTTCTTTGACCATTCCAAATTCATAGCGAAGTACATGCGCCAGTAATTATGATAATTCAACCATGTTTTCTTTCCTATCGTTGCAGGGTCATTCCAAGTTCATAGAAAAAAACATGTGCGAGTAATTATATAATATTATTAAATCGTATTTTCTTTTCTATCTTTTCAGGGTCATTCCAAGTTCGTAAAGGAAAAAATGTGTCAGTGTTTATATTAATTCAACAATGTTTTCTTTGCTATCTTTCTACCATCATTCCAAGTTCATAGCAAGAAACATATTACACATTAATTTAATAACACTGTGAACCAAATGTAGCTATCTGGAGACAATGTAACAGTTTGAATTAAAACATTATTGTAAGCTCTTTTTAAGGGGTAAAACATCAAAATTATTTTACATATAAGGATTTTTCATTTGAACCACTTACTTCATTAGATTCAACAACTTTTGTAAAGCTAGATGATGCACTATCGAACAAAAATGTTTTCATCGGTAACAAACTACTACGGTTAAAGATGCTTAAAGCATCAGAGTAAAGTTATCCGGATAAAAACGTAAGTGGTTTGTTTTGAATTTCGCGCAAAGCTACACGAGGGTTACCTGCGTTAGCCGTTCCTAATTTAGTAGTGTAAGACTAAAGGGAAGGTAGCTAGTCATCACCACCCACCGCCAACTCTTGGGCTACTTTTTACCAACGAATAGTGGGATTGACTGTTACATTATAACGCTCCTACGGCTAAAAGGGCGAGC